TGATAATTGAGGTAAAATCTCACTTTTCTCCAAATCTGCATAGTCACAACAAACCAACTTTCTACATGTGAGGTAAGCAAACTGAGCCAATAAGACTCATTGCATCAGTAAAGCACTTAACGTGAACATTTCTCACAGTCAGCCTGAATTCATGTGACAACTCCCTTCCCCCCTGAAAACTTCCCATCATTCCTGCTGCTGAAATCTTCAAATTCAAACGAGGGCTTACCTCCTCTCTTGCTGGAATCCTTCTTCTATCTCTCTTCCTCCTTCTTACGTTTCCCTCATCCCTGCCTCACTCTATTTTCCCCCACTCACTCTGTCACAGTCAGTCAAATGAGGTTACATCTTCCGGATGTTTTGTAAGAGGCATAGATTACCAAAACAGAGTTCAAGCTCTGCAGCCTCCTCCGAAGGCTACCAAAAGCACCAGACGACATAAAGCAGAGCAGGAATTTTTACATAGTATTGTGTATTATTATTATGAGTATTGTGTGTGTAAACCACAATTTCTGGAGACAAACATAAATGATCTTCTCTCAGTTTCAGAGCAGAAGAACAACTTCATATGATTCTTACAAGATGAACAGCTAGACGAGAGATTTCTTACCCTCAAATTCAAAGTACTCAGAGTACACAAAGTACACATCCTCTCACGTACATCATGCAGACAATCAACAGTGTCATCTCTTCATAGCTATTTCTCCTGCACCAGGTACTATAAGTTACACTTTCATCTTAGTTGCAATGTGACAAACATATGTAATGAAATATTGGAAATCATATGTAAGGCAATCCTCCTGGTTATATGCCTGTGACAGTCCGTGATTAGTCATCTAAAAGTTATATTTTCACCAATAAAATATTTAAATTGTTATTCTGGGTCATTGTTGTGGGTCTGGCTATCACCACCACTTGTTTGGTCTTTATTTTTGAGCTCTTTGTCCGTATACTCCGACTCAAACAGGGAGGGACAACCATCATTCAGTCATGTTATTAGTTTGAAAATACTTGATTTACACAGAACTAATAGTAAATTAGTCTAGTAGTAGAAAACCTGCAGAAACAATACATCCCATAGTCATGGATCTTGACAAACATTATTTCATGTTTGTCAGGGATCTTGACCTACAAATGCATTCATTTGCAATCTGCCTGAGCTGACTAATCTGATAAAACTGAGTGGACCATCCAAAGAAACCACAATGCACATGTACTTTCTTTAATTAGGTGGAATCTCCTTGAAGACATAGTATACAAGGCTAAGACAAACTTATTAGAATCCTCCAAATGCATATTCACAAACGAACAACTAATTGTACTGTCAGTTGGGTCTGCTATCCATGTTCCAGATATTTGGGTCAGAAAATTCCCATCAGGCATAGAAAGACGGTGAGGATGGTGAAAGTGTAGCACAGAAACAGCATTTTAACAATTCAAGGCATCGCTATATATGTTAGTATTTTTGAATTAATGACATAAGGAAATCATTAGACAGATGGATAGATAGATGGACTAAGGTTACCAGAATAACCCTTTCCCTATTGAGCTTGTTGCCCTCTGCACTGTTGTAAAGGTCATGAAAAATGCTGACCTAGATGCCATCAAATAACAGGCTTGATGAATGAGGGTACATGAGCTTACTTCTGTGGCTTGACACACAAGATAGAAGATTTACACTAAAACATTAATTTGTTCTCTGAGGCTGTGGTTGAAACAAATTTACCATGTACAGTCAATTATTCCACAAGCGGTGATTGCATAATTTTATTGCCCTGTTTCGTGGAAACGTTGTGCTGTTGGTTGTAGAAACTGAAAATGTCCTAGTGCATGGAAAGCACTCCATGAGACATATAGTACACTCACCTATGTGCCGACTGAAACTTTTGAAATACCAGCACTTTTTCCTTCATATTTATTTATATTACTATTTTAATTCTGCGTCTCCTTTTTGATTATCATGCATTTTACTCAATAAACAGCATTTTAAGGTAACCTCATTTAACACCCCATTCAAAGCCTATTTATCACGTGGACATATCTAGTGTAATGTTACAGTATCACTCATGTGATGAGATGTGACCATAAAGAACAGAAAGCTGCATAACCCAGCAGGATATAAGGATTTTTAAAGCTGTAGAAAATGTGCATCACTTCAATAGATTTGACACAGTCACCTTTATCTAACTTTGAAGAAAGAAATGCTGTATTTATGGATGAAAGTTAATTTTTACATAGTAATGATAGTGTGAGAGGATGTATAAATGTGAGTAAAGCAATATGTACTCTGCAGAATGCATGCTGGCTACTGCGTCTGGAGCCTCATCAAAAGTAATTATACAGTAGTCCAGATGTTAAGAATGAAGCTGTCAATGGTGTTATTGTCTACAAATCCCAAGACCAAAGCCATCAGTCCATTGACCACTGCAAATACAAATCTTATTCCTCTGTGCCACAGATCTCCACTGTTGTCCTAAACCTATTCAAACACATCAATGTGTCACTCTGTTGCACTGGACTACATCTCTTCATTACCATCGGCATACAGCATAGGAACTTTATTTAAGTGATAATACCTGACAAGTTGAACATTCCATCATGTGGCACGGCCCATCGTTACAATCATGAATGCACACATAAATTACATAAAGTATACTTACACCATGGCAACTCAATATGCTACTTATAGTAAAACAAAAGTTATCAGTTGTGTGGTATTTTCCAAGACCCAGAATAACAATTTTAGTCTTTTATTTGTGCAAAAGACACTGTCCTGTTGCAGTTGCCCCATAAGATAACAGAGGTCAGAGGACAAAAAAAAGTCTTGTCTATTATGTCAAGGATGGGGAGCGAGAAAGAAACAAGGAGAACATAGTTCAACGTGAACATAAAAACCTAGTTTTACACACAACATGAACAAAAGGTAGAAACTCTGGCCTCTTAGCAGCTGCCTTGAAAACACCCCAGGCTAAGAGGACAGGGTCTTTATCTAAAAGAATAGGGAAAACGCCTCAACAGCAATGGTCACCAGTCAAATCTGATTTTAAATAAAGTTAGGGAAGCCCCCCCCCCAAAATCTTCTTTACCCCCAATAATTTATACATTTTTTCTGTGAATGTGCAAAGTTTCTAGACACAAATTTGTTATGGCTCAGTCATGTGCTCTGATGATCACAGTAACAAAGTCCTTCTATTTGCATAAAATTCTCCTTTTCCATACTTGAGGTCTGTGTATGGTTCATATTGAAAACTATTTGTCGGTGGTTACACAAACAATCTGAGTTTTAAGACTATTTTTGCTGAGGCTCAAATGTTGCTTTCTTCACGGACAGGTTCATCCTGGAGCATCATTTAGAAACAAATGTGTTCACACTTTTAAACCAACCACAATCCACATTTTTAGTTGCCATGGCACTGTCTGAATAAATGCCATGTATATTTATACCATCCTGCTGGCAAAACACCAAAGGTATATCAACATTCATTCGTCACA